TTGCTTTGCCCTCTGTCCACGTCATTTGGCATGCGCAACTTCAGCACCACTTTGTCCAGATATCTTCTGGTTTTTCAAATGACTTGCATGAGATAGGGTAAAATAGATCAGGTTTTCTTGTAGTGCAAAACAGAACCCCACTGCTATGCCTCAGTTATGTATATTTAATATATGAAATGTCAGATACTGCATGCTTCTCGCCATCTCTCTCCATGTCTGTGTCTACATCTATCATCTATTATCATCTGTTATCTATCTATCTATCTATCTATCTATCATCTATCTATCATCTATCTATCTATGATCAATCATCTACCTATCTATCATCTATCATCTAATCTCTCATCTATCTATCATCTACCTATCATCTACCTATCATCTATCTATCTATCTATTTATCTATCTATCTATCTATCATCTCTCTATCATCTATCTATCTATCTATCTATCTATCTATCTATCTATCTATCTATCTATCTATCTATCTATCTATGAATCTATCTATCTATCTATCATCTATCTATTCTATCTATCTATCTATCTAATCTAACATCTATCTATCATCTACCTATCACCTATCTATCAATCTATCATCTATTTATCATCTATCTATGATCAATCATCTACCTATCTATCATCTATCTATCTATTTATCTATCATCTATTAATCATCTATCTATCTTTCTTTCTATCATCTGTTTATAATTTTTCTATCATCTATCTATCTATCATGTATCTATCTACCTACCTATCTATCTATCTATCTACCATCTATCTATTATCTATCTATCTATCATCTATCTATCTATTATCTATCTATCTATCAGCTATCTGTTATCTATCTATCTATCATCTATCTATCTATCTATCTATCTATCTATCTATCCTATCTATCTATCTATCATCTATCTATTATCTATCTATCTATCATCTATCTCTCTATCTATCTATCATCTATCTATATCTATCAATCAATCAATCATCTATCTTTCTCTTTCTATCTATCTGTTTATCATTTTGTTCTAGTTTTACTCATAAAGCAATATTT